CTCAGAGATTAAGGTGCCCTTGCTGGGCACCTCAGGAAGCTCAGAAGTAGAGTTGCCATTATTGTCTTCTAAGCCTAGTGCAGAGACAGCTTCAAGTGGGTTAACTTCCAAATCTAGTTCAGAGGCAAGTGTTTCGTCTCAGTTTCTAAAAACAGTTCCTCATCAGGCACATCCTTACTGACTCCCAAGAGCAGTTCCTCAACAAATACATCACTGCTAACTTCCAAAAGCACTTCCCAGTAGCTAGTAGCTGCTTCACTACTAGCTTCCAGGAGTAGCTCCCAGGCCAGTGGATCTCTTGCTGACACTTCCTTAGCAAGTGTTTCTCAGTTGACTTCTAAGAGTAGTTCTCAGACTAGCACCTTGCAGTTGCCTTCTAAAAGTTCTTCACAGTCAAGTGAGAGTTCTGTCAAATTCTCTTGTTGCAAGTTAACCAATGAAGATGTGAAACAGAAGCAACCCTTCTTCAACAGACTGTATAAAACGGTGGCATGGAAGTTGGTAGCTGTTCATGGCTTTAGTCCCAATGTGAATCATGGAGAGGTTTTAAATGCAGCAGTTGAGGCTCTGAGAGCAACACTGGATGTGTTTTTTTGTACCACTAAAAGAACTGGCAGATCTGCCTCAAAATAAGAGCTCTCAAGAAAGTATTGTTTGTGAGTTGAGATGTAAGTCTGTTTATTTGGGCACTGGCTGTGGAAAAAAGCAAAGAAAATGCAAAAGCGGTTACATCAAGAGAAGCATTGAAGTTATTTCTCAAGAAAAAAAGTGGTGGTAAAAATATGTAAAAGGAAATATAGAGGCAGTGAAATAGAAGACCTGGTACTCCTTGATGAAGAATCGAGGCCTGTAAACTTACCTCCAACATTAAAACATCCTCAAGAATTACTATAATATGTTCAAAATATCACTGCATACATCTGGTATTTGGAGAGGAAAAACTGGCTTTTGTACAGTGTAAAACACAGGCTTTCACAAATTTTGTATTGGTTTTTTTCCAGTTTTGCAGAAAATTTACATTCTAGTTCACTTCACACAGTAGAAGTTGTAAATAATTTATGAATGACAGTACACATTAAAAAGTATGCATTAACAGCATACCAGTATGCTGTTTTATTTGCTGAAGAAAATACTGTCTTCTATTTTTAATGATTAGGTACGATGTGTAGTTCAGTAGAGTCTTAAAATTTTTGTACTACTTTCAATTTGGTGAAAATGTATTAAGTTGTCTACCATGCTTTTTTTTTTTCTAACTGAATAAACCACATCAAAGAAAAGGGACCATAGTATTTGAATGTCTGAAAGTCTGTAAAGCTTAAGGCTTAAAAAATGTTGCCCATAATGTTGAACATGTCTGTTAAAAAATAAAATAGTTGCCTCAGACTATTTTTATGATAAGTTGTAAGCATTTTTTAGATATAAAGCAGTATAAAGTACTTATTGTTATTATATTCTGAAGTTGTTTGAAATTCACCATGATTTTGACCACTGCAGATTCTTTAAGCAGGTTAATTTATGTTTTGAGGTAAAATACAATTTACACTTTTTCTTAAAGACATAAATGTGGGTTTCTATATTAAGCATATTTTGTGACTACCACTATTAACAGGTTGATTTGTTTAGATATTAAATGCATTAAACTATTTTAAAAAATAAATGAATTTTAAAGAAAATAAAATAAAGTTCCTCTCATGACCCTGCCCACCAATTCCTCAGATGAAGTTTCTTATAAACTCTTAGGGAAGTTGAAGCCAGCCAGACTATGACCCAGAGACTCTAAAATCCTCACCAAACATGGGAAATACTGCCCTCTCTTTACCTAGTTAGGTATATAACTGTTACTCAATTTTTTTTTTTTTGGTAGAGACAAGGTCTTGCTATGTTGCCCAGGCTGGTCTCAAACCCCGGGGTTCAAGTAATCTCAGCCTTCCAAAGTGTTGGGATTATAGGCGTGAGCCACCACGCTCAACCCTATTTTTACGTCAATAATGTTTAACATGCATGTATGAAAATAGTTGCTGAACAATAATAACCTAATCGGTTGAAGGAAAAATAAGAGAATACCCACGGGAAGATAAATGTCGCACCCTAGAGAGTAATAGGAAACAACTGAACAACCTGGGGGTCAGTGCAGTAAGCACAGCTGGTTAGCAGCAGGGAAGGAGGCTGAGAGTGCTCCCTGCAGGTGAGCTCCCTCCCCATTCACATCACTGTGGCCCGGAGGGGCCAGTGGACAAGCACTGGGTGAACCAAGTGAAAAAATTAAGGCCCACAGTCATGACTACCTCTCCCACTACCACATATTAGGAGAACCTTCTGCGTCGACACTATGCTAAGCATAACGATGCTCTCATTTCACTCATATGGGAATCCTCCAAGATGGTATTCTCATTTATACTTTACCAAAGTATAGGGATTTGACTCAGGCTCCCAAGGTCATACAGCTGGCCAAGGGTAGAGCCCAGGTCCAGCCCAGGACTGCCTGACTGTGGCAACCCATGTGCTTGACCCCCAAACTGACCAGGGAAGAAGAGACAAGATATAAAAAATGTAGTGCTCGCTTCGGCAGCACATATACTAAAATTGGAACGATACAGAGAAGATTAGCATGGCCTCTGTGCAAGGATGACACGCAAATTCGTGAAGCATTCCATATTTTTCATAGAGATTCTGGGAGCAAAGCCTCAATTCCTCAACCAACTCATCTCTGACAAAGCCTCCAATAACAACCACTGGGGAGAGGAGAACCTATTCAGTAAATGGTGCTCGGAAAACTGGCTGACCACATGCAGAATATTGAAACAGGACCCCTACCTATCACCATACACAAAAATTAACTCTAAATGGATCAAAGACCTAAATGTAAAACCTCAAACTATAAGAATCTTAGAAAACGCAGAAGACACCCTTATGGAAATTGGAACTGGCAACCAATTCCTATTCAGAACTCTAAAGGCCAATACCTTAAGAAATAAGATAGACAAGTGGGGCCTCATCAAACTAACAAGCTTCTGCAAAGCAAAAGAAACCATCAAAGGAGCAGGGAGACAGACCACAGAATGGGAAAAAATATTTGCCAACTGTATATCTGACAAAGTCCTAACATCTAGGATCTACAAGGAACCCAAATGTGCCAAAAGGAAAAAAACAAGCAGCCCCTTTAAAAAGTGGGCAAAAGACATGAATAGACACTTCTCAAAAGAAGATATATGGGCAGCCAACAGACACATGAAAAAGTGCTCAGCCTCACTCATCATTAGAGGAATGCAAATCAAAACCACATTGAGATACCACCTAACCCCAGTAAGAATGGCCATCATTAATAAAACAAACAACAACAGATGCTGGCGAGAATGCAGAAAGAAAGGAAGGCTTCTACACTGCTGGTGGGAATGCAAACTAGTGCAACCTCTTTGAAAGACAGTGTGACGATTTCTGAAAGAACTAGAAATTGACCTTCCATATGACTCAGAAATTCCCTATTGGGAATATACCCAGAGGAACTCAAATCATTCTACAAAAAAGATACCTGCACACGTATGTTTGTTGCAGCTCTATTCACAATAGCAAAAACATGGAACCAACCATGCTGCCCATCGAAGCTGGACTGGATTTTAAAAATGTACATATACACAATGGAATATTAGGCAGTCATAAAGAAAGACAAACATATGAACTTTGCAGCAACTTGGTTGTATTTGGAGTCAATCAGACTCAGTGATCTGTCACAGAAACAAAGAACAGAGCACCATATGTTTTCACTCAGAAGCGGACCTTGAACAATTATAATACTATAAGAAAGGAATTGGCAGCAGTGGGAAACTGGGGGGGTGGGATTGACAGTTGAAGGAAACTGCTAGGGGAAGGAGGGGCATACCTCATCAACAAGGGTACCCGCATAATCAATGTTTGTATGCCTAACCCCAAATTGTATCCCACATCTTTATAATAAAAAGCAAGAATAAATTAAATTAAATTTAAAATGTAATAAAAGTAAACAACCCGCCAGATCTTTTTTTTTTTTAGTTGGAGTCTCACTCTGTCATCCAGACTGGAGTGCAGTGGCTGCTCCCGGCCACCGCAGCCTCGACTTGCTGGGCTCCGGTGATCCTTCCGCCTCAGCCTTCCGAGTAGCTGGGATTACAGGCATGCGCTACCATACCCAGCTGATTTTTTGATTTATTGTAGAGATGAGGTCTCGCTGCCCAGGCGGGTCTCGAACCCACGGGCTCAGGCAATCCACTCGCCTCAGCCTCCCAAAGGCGCAGGATTACAGGCTGAGCCACCGAGCCTGGCTAACCCGCCAGATCTTAACCTCATCATTTGGTGGGGACAAAACCATATTATTTTGTGTCAACAGCCATGTAATAAGAACTCACCAATAATAATGATAATGTAATAATATTCTCACCAAAAAAAGTGAAGGAGTGGAATAAAAGTAGGTGAAAAAGTGAAAGACAATGAGCAGAGAAATTCCGAGAAGAGAGGGGGAATGGTCAAAATCCAACCAAGTGAGTGAATAAAGCTGCATCCCCAGGGATCTCCGGGATTCGTTCTTGGGGTTCAGCAGGGTTGAGGACAGCACTGCCTACAAACACCACCAGGTTGTGTCACACAGATCTGGGCTGCAAATCCCACCTCTGCATTATCCACACAAGAGAAGATGGGCGCCAGGTCTGCAGACCCAACAAAGGTTTGTTTGATGAAATTAATGGAAATAGGTCACTTAAGCTCTGTGAGCCTCAGTTTCCCAATCTGTAAAGTGTTGGCTCATGCCTGTAATCCCAGCACTTTGGGAGGCTGAGGCAGGAGGATTGCTTGAGCCCAGGAGGTCGAGACCTGCCTGGGTAACATAGCTAGGCCCCGTCTCTACAAATATTTAAAAATACAAAAAATTAGTCAGGTGTGGTGGTGCATGCCTGTAGTCCCATCTACCCAGGAGGCTGAGACAGGAGGATCATTTGAGTCCAGGAGGTTGAGGCTGCAGTGAACCATGATCGTTCTATTGTACTCCAGCTTGGGCAACAGAGTGAGACCTCAACGCAAAAAGAAAAAAAAAAGAAAAGAAAAGAAACAAAGAGAAAAAAGAGGCTGGGCTTGGTGGCTCAGCCTGTAACTCCAGCACTTTGGGAGGCCAAGGTGAGTGGATTACCTGAGCCCACCGGTTCAAGACCAGCCCAGGCAACTTGGCGAGACCTCATCTCTACAATAAATCAAAAATTTGCCAGGCACGGTAGCACATGCTTGTAATTCTGGCTACTTGAAAGGCTGAGGTGGAAGGATTGCTGGAGCCCAGCAGGTTGATGCTGGGGTGGCCATAAGTGTGCCACTGCACTCCAGCCTGGGTGACAGAGCAAGACTCTGACTCAAAAAAAAAAGAAGAAGAAAGAAATAGAAAACCTACTTCTAGGGCTGTGGAGGGCCATCTTGGGCTGGACCACCATGGACTTGGCAACGGGGATGATGATAGTGTCTGTGATCCCCTCCCAGGCCCCTGGGCCACACTGATCTGCATTAACTCAATGGCCTGTCTTCCTCTCCACCCTGTCCCCACCCAAAGGTGACATCCTCGAGGGAAAGAATTCTGTCTCTATTTCATCTCGTTCATGCCTCTATCGTGCCCCACACCCTGCTGCTGCCAGGTGAGGGAATGGTCTGGTTTCTGGGGAAGAGACACCAGCTGGAGATGCACCTGGTGACTGCAGGTGACCCCGTAGTGCAACTCGTTTACGAAATGTTCGCAGTTCTTGCTGGTCAGCTTGTAGAGCACCTCCTGCCCCACCAGCACCTCTGCCCACTGGACGATTTTGCTGGGAGACAGTGGTGAGTACTTGTCATCATGTTTGTTATATACTTGTCTCTCCTGGCCACATCATACAGCAATTCCCTCTTCACTATGGCCTTGTCAGTCAGGACCGACAGGACACTGGCCGCACCAGCCCCTGCAACTTCACCTGCGGATCCACAGAGAAGAAACAGAACCATTGGACCTGGGCAGGGCCACAGGGCTTGGTGCTGGCCCCAAGATGGGCATCTTCCCTTGGCACCCTCCACAAAGTATGCACAAGTATGGAAAGGTTGGCCTGGCACGGTGGCTCATGCCTGTAATTCCAGCACTTTAGGAGCAAAGCAGGAGAATCACTTGAGCCCAGGATTCCAGACAAGCCTGGACAACATAGCAAGACCTCATCTCCACAGAAAAATAAAAAATTAGCTGGGCATGGAGGCACATGCCTATAGTCTCAGCTACTCAGGAGGCTGAGATGGAAGGATCTCCTGAGCCCAAGAGACCAAGGCTGTGATGAGCTGTGATTGTGTCACTGCGCTCCAGCCTGGGTGACAGAATGAGACTCTGCCTCAAAAACCAAAACCAAAATAAAATTGGGC